GACAAGGGTGTGCTTACCTACATTCAGACAATGCATGAATACACATAAAATAAAAATAATAAATAAAATATAAAAAGCATTTATGCTAATAATTTAAACTTAATGTTTTACAATCTCAGCAACGGTAGATCTGCCTGCCACTCTTTGATTTCACCACACTCAGGGGCTGGTTCCCATATATTAAAACCAAGTTGTTTCAAAACATTGTTCAAGGTAATAAATCTAAGGGTTGGAGAGATGGTTCAGCAGTTAAGACCACTGACTGCTCTTGCAGAAGACAACCCAGATTTGAATCCGAGCACCCACATGGTGGATAACATCCACGTTCGCAACTCCAGTTCCAGGGGATCTGACGCCCTCTTCTGACCTCCACGACATGGGTGCACTTACATACATGCAGGTGACACACTCATACACTGAAAAATAATAAGTGCCGGGCACGGTGGCACATGTCTGTTGGGGACCCCTGCTGTCTAAGGTAGCAGTCTCTACATGTCCGGATAGCCGCAAGTCGGCTCAGCGTTCATATGCAGAGGCTCCCTTTCTCAGCTGGGTGCCTTCCTACTCTCTTCCTGACTCACCTTTTGAAGTACCTGTCACAGATACAGGCCTCTGGCATAGGAACTGCCAGGTTTTCCTGTGTGATAATCAGGCAGTGTCTCGCAACCCGGCAGAAGCCCACCACCACATGTAAATAGGGCATCCCAAAAGCACCTATCCACTAAGGCTTTTGCCATGCCCCCACACTATAAATATCCTGGTTTCCCCTAATTAATCAGAACTGAATCACTAAGATCTGGAGCTGAGCTGAGTCAATGAATAAAGGAGCTGTACCACTGAGTCTGACTGAGCTGTGTCCTGTGTCTTACTGCCTATGATTCAGTTTCCCCAGAGGGAGCTGTCCCTTCATAAACAGCCACTCGCGAAGATCCTGCTTTCCCCGTTCTTGCACCTCCCCTCATGACCCGGTGGCCAACGGATCGCGAAACATAGAGGGAGTGCCCAGTAGCTTGGAACGGAACTCTCCTGGAAGCGGAGCGACCGCTGAGTCGCCAGCATCCAGTAGCCACGGAGAGCCTCAGCAACACAGAGAGACAGGAACCTGCACAGCAGGGACCCAAACAGCAACGCGGTGCTCGCAACCCACTGCACCCCAGCGGAGCGCGAGAGACAGCAGCTGACGCTCCGAGATCCCCGCGGGTCCCATACAAGTCTTAAATCCTAGCACTGTGGGGGGAGGGGGCAGAGGCAGGCGGATCTCTGTGAGTTCAAGGCCAGCCTGGTGGACCCTGCACAGCAGGGACCCAAACAGCAACGCGGTGCTCGCAACCCACTGCACCCCAGCGGAGCGCGAGAGACAGCAGCTGACGCTCCGAGATCCCCGCGGGTCCCATACAAGTCTTAAATCCTAGCACTGTGGGGGGAGGGGGCAGAGGCAGGCGGATCTCTGTGAGTTCAAGGCCAGCCTGGTCTACTTCTCCAGTTCAGGCCGGCCGGGGCTACAGGGAA